TGGGGCTCGGGAGGGAGAGAACACGGGCTGAGTGGTTTGTGGCCCTTTTTTTATTGTGGTAAAAAACAGAATTTACAAGTAAAGTTGCTCGCAGTCGGCTGCCTCCTGAGTTGTGACCCCAAGTGCCACAATCACCTGTCATATAAATCCCTCCAGGGCTGGCGACTCAGCCCCTGCCCTGCCCAGCTGTGCCAGTGCTGGAGAACCCTCGCAGTGAATAAATTTTCCCCAATGTCAAACCGCAACCTCCCCTGGTGCCACCTGAGGCCGTTTCCTCTCATCCTTTCACTAGTTTCGTGGAGAAGAAACAGACCCCAGGTGCCAACATGCTCCTTGCGGGCAGTGGCAGGGCGGGTGACAGTCCCCCCTGCGGCTCCTTTGCTCCAGGCTGAGCCCCCTCCCGTCCCCTCAAGGCTCGGGAGAGAGAGAACACGGGCTGAGTGGTTTGTGGCCCTTCTTTTTTTGTTGTGGTTAAAGAAAGAATTATAGCGAGCGACAAAGGATGAACCTTTCCCAGGGGAATTCCCTTCCCGCAGCCCGGCTGTCTCTCCGGTGTCCCGCTGTGGGTGATCCCCAGGGAGGGCGCAGCAGCCGCACTGATTTCGGCTGCCTGAGGCTATTCAGACCAATGGTATTCTCGACCCATCTCCTGGTGCAGGGCAAGGCGACTTTCTCGTTTAAAAGTGCTGCCTCTGATGAGCGCTGATGATCAGAGAGTGACACGGGACCAAGGGGAACCTGTTCCCGATTTCCCTTTCATCTCTTGTGGGAACTCCGTGTCGCTCAGGCTACAAATTCTGATCGGTTTAGGAAGCAACTGCTCCGTGTTGTGCTCGTATTCCGCCGGTCCGTGGTGCTCAGGCTGAGTGCAGAGACGCAAAGGCCGGAGTTGATTGCACAGTGCCCTGTGGGGTTGTTCTTTCTGCTACATAAGCGCCACCGTGACAGCGCCGGGCGAGGCTCGGAGCCAGCGCCCCCCCCCGGCGGCAGCCGTGCCGCGCTGCTGCTGTTGGTACCGGGGCCGTGCTCCTCTGCTGAGCCGGGGCAGCGGCAGCACGGGCAGTGGCGGTGCCTTGTGCCGTGTCGCGACAGCTGCGACAGCCCGAGCTCGGGCGGCGGCGGCACTGCAGGGAGGCGGGGCCGGGCTGCCGCCGGGCTCCGGGCGCGCCTGTGATTGGCTGTCGGAGCTAGAATATGCAGATGAGGCGCGCGCGGCCCCATGGGCGGCAGGCGCGGGCGTTGCGCGGGGCGCGGGCGTTGCGCGGGGCGCTGCGTGTGCAGGGGCCGCTCGCCATTGATGACCGTTCCCGGCCCCCTTGGTGGGGCTCGGGAGGGAGAGAACACGGGCTGAGTGGTTTGTGGCCCTTTTTTTATTGTGGTAAAAAACAGAATTTACAAGTAAAGGAGCTCGGAGTGGGCTGTCTCCTGAGTTGTGACCCCAAGTGCCACAATCACCTGTCATATAAATCCCTCCAGGGATGGCGACTCAGCCCCTGCCCTGCCCAGCTGTGCCAGTGCTGGAGAACCCTCGCAGTGAATAAATTTTCCCCAATGTCAAACCGCAACCTCCCCTGGTGCCACCTGAGGCCGTATGGAGGAGAAAAAGGCTCCTGGTGCCAACATGCTCCTTGCGGGCAGTGGCAGGGAGGGAGACAGTCCCCCCTGCGGCTCCTTTGCTCCAGGCTGAGCCCCCTCCCCGTCCCCTCAAGGCTCGGGAGGGAGAGAACACGGGCTGAGTGGTTTGTGGCCCCCCCTTCTTTTTTTAATTTATTTTTTTTGAAGGGTCAGCCCTGTGAGCTCGGCATTGGCTGCCTCCTGAATCCTGACCCCAAGTGCCACAAACAAATATTTTATAAATCTTTCCAGTGCACGATAGAACTGATCCAGCAGGCTGAGCCCCCTCAGCTCCCTCAAGTGCTCCTTACCAGCTCCATGACCCCTCCCGCAATCTGTTCCCTTCTCTGGACACACTGCAGCCCCTCAGTGTCGTTCTGTGTGTGCTGGGGCCGGCAGTGTGCGCAGGATTGGCGGCGCGGCCCCAGCAGTGCCGGGTTCCGAGGGCGGTCAGTGCCCGGTCCCGCGGGTCACAGCGGGGCCGGCACAGGCCCCGTTCCCCCGGCCTGCGGGGCCCCCTGGGCGCGGTGCCGGCTCTGCGCGCCAGCGTCCAGCGGCATCGGGAGATGGCACCGAGATCCGCGACTCTAAAACCGAAACGAGAACCGCAGCGAGTGTTTGGTTTGCTGTATAGAGTGTAGCGTTGCAGGGGGTTCTTGTGATCGAGGCACAGAGCAGAGCCCGGTGGCGATTCCGCCGCCCGTGAGGCGTCCCGGGCCCCGGTGGGGCAGGTAGGGTAGGGGGCGGAGCCTCGCGGGAGTGGTTTGTGGCCCTTTTTTATTGTGGTTGAAAAATAGAACAAGCCCCCCTAACACTCGCCTTGTTTCGGTGTTAGACCCCTCATTCTCCCATTCGTGCTCATCACTTCCCCCCTTACGAGTTAATTCCAATGTAATTCCATTTTCTGAATGAAATCAACGCGACCAAACATTGGGAATCACAAAGGGTTCTGACTGGAAAACGACCAGCAGCATCACAGAGTTCATCTCTTGAGGAAATGGCCCATGCGGGGATCGAACCCGCGACCTTGGCACAGGCAGCACCGCCCTCTGAGCAATTACCAAAGAATTATTTACTTGTCAATTAATATGATAATAACAATAATGAGAAGAATAAAAAACATAAACTTATTTATTAATCAGTAATTACTAAAGCAGATTTACTTATTTATTAATACGATTATGACAACAAAAACAATGACAACAATAATAGCAATAAACTTATTTATTAATAAGTAATTTCTAAAATAATTTACTTGTTTACTAATATGATAACAATAATAATAAAAATAAACTTATTTTAATAAGTAATTTATAAGGAATAATTTATATAGTAATTAATTATGTCCTCCTATGTTGTGTGTGCTCATCCATCTCTACTTATCCATCATTTGCTCATATACAGGTGATGAATATTTAATTTATATATATATATATATATTTCTGTGTGTATGTGTATATATATATATATATATTTCCATGTGTGTGTGTGTGTGTATATATATATATACATATATATATATATACTTACATATCTGTCTAATTTAAACAGTTCATATAATTACACACCACATAAAAGCACCATTTGTTAATTGCACACCCTTTATTAAAATCCTTGTGGACATGCAGCTCTTTTCTTATAGAAAGCCACAAAAAATATAATTTGCTCTTTTTTTCCCTCCATTTCTGCTGCTGGATTTTCGTACCTGCAGCAGCTCAGAGCAGTGATGATGAACCACCAGCTTTTATTAAAACAATTTTTAATTCAAACAACCCCCACCCTTGGGAACCTCGTGTTTCCTTGCAGGAGTTTTTGTGGATGCTGTGAATTCCATGGGCCAGACCTGTCTGTTCACTGCTGCTTTGCTGGGGCTGGGTAAAATTGTGGATGTGCTGCTGGAATACGGCTCGAATGCCAATCAGTTAAGTACCAAACATTTATTGTTTTAATTAAAATTAATCTTCAAGTCGGTTTAGTCACTGTGAAACCCAATATTCACTGGGCATAAATGAAGGAGTGCTTAAGATGCACGTTGGGATTTTAACCAAAGCTCCTCAGTGGTAAATAGAGAAATAAAATAGAGAAATGATTTTATTCATTTTTAAATGAAAAATTATTTTATTGGGGGCACACAAACACTCCAGGAATGCTGGTTTTTAACCAAAGCTCCTCAGTGGTAAATACAGAAATAATGTTCTTTATTTCCATACTTAATTCTACTATTTGGGGCATGAAAATTTTCTTCTTTTTGTGCTTTATTCTATTATTTGGGACATGATAATTTTCTTTTTTTTCATGCTTTATTCTGTTACTTGAGACATGAAAATTTTCTTGTTTTCCATGCTTTATTCTGTTAGTTGGGACATGAAAATCTTCTTCTTTCCATGCTTTATTCTATGATTTGAGACACGAAAATTTCCTTTTTTCGTGCTTTATTCTGTTACTTGGGACATGAAAATGTCCCTTTTCCATGCTTTATTCTGTTATTTGAGACATGAAAATCTTATTTTTTCCACGCTTTACTCTGTTACTTGGGACATGAAAATGTCCCTTTTCCATGCTTTACTGTGTTACTTGGGACACGCGAATGCCCTTCCCACGCTGTGTGGGTTATCGGTGCTCACTGTGGGTTATCGGGGCTCCCTGTGGGTTATCGGGGCTCCCTGTGGGTTATCGGGGCTCCCTGTGGGTTATCGGGGCTCCCTGTGGGTTATCGGTGCTCCCTGTGGGTTATCGGTGCTCACTGTGGGTTAGCCGGGCTCCCTGTGGGTTATCGGGGCTCCCTGTGGGTTATCGGGGCTCCCTGTGTATATATATATAGAGAGAGAGAGAGAGAGAGAGAGAGAGAGAGAGTCCAGATTTATGAATTTTCAATAGTTCTTCTTTGGCTCTGTTTTTATTGCTTTCCCCCCTCCTCCTGCCCAGATGCTGGAATTTATCCAGCAGTGCTCGCTGTGCATGCAGGCTGCCATTTGGAATCTTCCCTCTGACCTGCTCAGGAAGGTTGGCTCCACAAGGGCCTTGATCTGCAGCCCCTCGAGGTTTGGTGGCCTTGTCCAAGGGTAACAAGAGATTTTACTGCCATTTTCTGCTATTTTAAAATGAAAATATTTATAGTTTTTATATATATTAATATTTTAATTTTTTATTTGTACTTTATTCTTATTTTTATTTACACGTATTTATATTTATAATTTTATATATTTAATTTGTATATTAGATATTTATATTTTAATGTATTTATATATATAATCTGTTTTTATATATATTATTATTTAAAATAATATATAGGTTCTTATACCTTCTGACAATAGCACCCACTGTGATTAATTTTATTTCTGTTGTCACAGTTCTAAACAGAAACTTGATAGTTGTAAATATCTGTATATTAAGAGAAGCTTTATAAATTAAACTCTTGAAACCAGCATTAAAAGCACTGGATTTTAGTAGCATTGAAGTGGCAGCAGGAAGTAGTTTGGGTTTGGACTTTTTAACATTCCTGCAGATCTTTTTGGGGGTGTTCCCAACTGTTTCAGGAATTTTTGTGTCAGATACATGTTGGAAAAAATAAAAAAGCAGTGCAGGATATACTTTGTGTGTGTATATGTATATTTATTGATTATTTTGCTTTGAATGAATAAATATCATAAAAATCCTGCACAATAATCTGGAATTTTCACATCCCCATTACATGTGTGGGACCAGTCAAATGCAGAAATTCTGATTTTTGCCCTTCTCTCTCTGTATCCAAGCCCTGGAATCAATAAATTGCTCTTGTTCCTTTTGGTTTTGGTGTTTAGGAATGCTGAGATTCCTGTGGGGAAATTTCTGAAAGGACGACCCAGCGTGGCCAGGAACATTTACAGCTTTGGTTTTGGGAAGGTGAGCTGCTGTGGGGAGGGATTTCCTGATGATGTTGGAACATTTCCCCAGAATCTCCTGTTCCCACAGTAATTATCTGTGCTATTTCCAACTTCTAGTGCATTCTTATTTTCAACTTTTCAACTTTTAGTACATTCTTCAACTTTTAGTGCTTTCTTATTTTTAACTTTTAGTGCTTTCTTATTTTTAACTTTTAGTGCATTCTTATTTTTAACTTTTAGTGCATTCTTATTTTTAACTTTTAGTGCATTCTTATTTTTAACTTTTAGTGCATTCTTATTTTTAACTTTTAGTGCATTCTTATTTTTAACTTTTAGTACATTCTTATTTTTAACTTTTAGTGCATTCTTGTTTTTAACTTTTTAGTGCATTCTTAACTTTTTTACTTTTAGTGCATTCTTATTTTTAACTTTTTAACTTTTAATGCATTCTTAACTTTTAAACTTTTAAAAGTTTAAAAGTGCATTCTTATTTTCGACTTTTTAACTTCTACTGCATTCTTATTTTCAACATTTTAGCTTTTACTGCATTCTTAACTTCTTAACTTTTAGTACATTCTTATCTTCAACTTTTAGTGCATTCTTATTTTTAACTTTTTAACTTTTAATGCATTCTTAACTTTTAAACTTTTAAAAGTTTAAAAGTGCATTCTTATTTTCGACTTTTTAACTTCTACTGCATTCTTATTTTCAACATTTTAGCTTTTACTGCATTCTTAACTTCTTAACTTTTAGTACATTCTTATCTTCAACTTTTAGTGCATTCTTATTTTTAGTTTTTCAACTTTTAGTGCGTTCTTATTTTTAACTTTTAAACTTTCACTTCATTCTTTTTTTCAACTTTTAAACTTTTAGTGCATTCTTATTTTTAACTTTTAAACTTTTAGTGCATTCTTATTTCTGACTTTTAGTGCATTCTTATTTTCAATTTTTTAGCTTTTAGTGCATTCTTAACTTTTCAACTTCTAGTGCATTCTTATTTTTAACTTTTTAACTTTTAGTGCATTCTTATTTCTGCTGAAAAGGTGGGAGAATAAACCCCATGAAGAGCACAAATATTCAGGCCTTTGGTGCCTGGTTGGGTTTGGAACAGCAGAAATTCCTGCTCAGTGTCACCTCTGGCACTTCCTAAGGACTGGTTCTGCTTTCCCTGTCCCAGCTTCAATGGGAAATTTCGATTTTGGCCCTGATTTTTCAGATTTCGTGGTGATGTTTGAGCTGGTTACACTCAGGGTGTTGATGAGCTTGCTGCATTTTGGGAACTGTTGCATTTCCTATTTAATTTCCACCTGGATTTTGGGAACTTTTGCATTTTATGTTTAATTTCCACCTGGATTTTGGGAACTGTTGCATTTCCTGTTTAATTTCCACCTGGATTTTGGGAACTGCTGCATTTCGTGTTTAATTTTCACATGAATTTTGGGAACTGCTGCATTTTCTATTTAATTTCCACCTGGATTTTGGGAACTGCTGCATTTTCTATTTAATTTCCACCTGGATTTTGGGAACTGTTGCATTTCTTGTTTAATTTTCACATGAATTTTGGGAACTGCTGCATTTTCTATTTAATTTCCACCTGGATTTTGGGAACTGTTACATTCCCTGTTTAATTTCCACCTGGATTTTGGGAACTTTCGCATTTCCTGTTTAATTTCCACCTGGATTTTGAGAACTGTTGCATTTTCTGTTTAATTTCCACCTGCATTTTTGGAACTTTTGCATTTCCTGTTTCAGTTCCACCTGGCAGGCAGTGGCCACCTGGGCTACCTGGCCTCCCTGCCAATAATTGGGGACAAAGATTTGGTTCAGGCTGATGATGAAGCAGCATTTTCTTACCACGTGGGGCCCTACATGATCATGACCAAGTAAGTGGAATTCCAGAGATTTTTTAGCCCCTCTTTGTGTCTGTTGCAATCACACAGCAAATTGCTGCAGCCGTGCTTTGTTTGGGTCATTTGTTCTGTATTTATTCCATGTTTCCTGCTTGCACCTTGTTTTCTGCTGTTCATTGATTAATATCTGAGTCAGAGTGATGGCTGGGAGGCCCAGAACAACCCACAAGCAATATTAACCCAATTTTGGCTGATTACTGATGGCACTGTTTCAGTATTGATCTGTTTTTTGTGGTGGGAAATACATTTAGGGTGGCAGAGATTGTGTTGTTCAGCATTTAATCCTTGTAAATCTTTGTCCAGGATTTCCTCTGGAGATCCAGGTGTGCAACCTTGAGAGTTGCAAGGGCAGGCTCAGCATCCATTTAAAATCTTGTAATTGTTGGTAATAATTACAATAATATGGTCTTTTCTAATTACTGTGTGTGAAGCAAGTGGTTGTGTCTCAGAGGCCGCCAGAGAATTGACAGATTGGTGATTTAATCTCCCCAAAATTCTGATTTGTGTCACTGATGGCCTCTGGAGAAGGGAATTCCTTGTGGAAGGGGTGGGATTCTGGGCAGTGAACCTTTCCTGCTCCATCAACCTTCAGCAGGACGAGTTTATTGTCAGTTTAAAAGAGGAAAATTTAAATTCCTGACAGCGGGAGGCAGCGCCAGAGCACCACAGAAAATTCTTGGTAAGAATTTTCTTGGTGAAAATTGGTAAATAACCAAAAGGAAAACACTGCTGGGAACATCTGGTCCAAATTCCTGCTGTTCTTTGCAGCCTGATGTGGGGAGGCAGCAGGGTGACAGTGAAGGAGCTGAGCCTCCAGCCCCAGCAGAGGAGCTGGAAGCTGCGCCTGGCTGATCTGCTGCTGGCAGAGCAGGAGCACAGCAGGTGGGGCAGGGGCTGCAGGACCCTGCAGGGCTGGGGGAGTGGGGTTTACCTGGGAGGATGGGATTTACCTGGGGGGAATGGGATTTACCTGGGAGGGATGGGATTTACCTGGGAGGGATGGGATTTACCTGGGGGGAATGGGGTTTACCTGGGAGGGATGGGGTTTGCCTGGGGGGAATGGGGTTTACCTGGGAGGGATGGGATTTACCTGGGAAAAATGGGATTTACCTGGGGGGAATGGGGTTTAGCTCGGGGGAATGGGATTTACCTGGGAGGAATGGGATTTACCTGGATTTACCAGGATTTACCTGGGGGGAATGGGGTTTACCTGGGAAAAATGGGATTTACCTGGGGAGAATGGGATTTACCTGGGGGGAATGGGGTTTACCTGGGAGGGATGGGATTTACCTGGCAGGAATGAGATTTACCTGAGAGGGATGGGATTTACTTGGGGGGAATGGGAATTACCTAAGGAAGAATGGGATTTACCTTGGGGGAATGGGATGTACCTGGGAGGAGTGGGAGGAATGGGATTTACCTGGGAAAAATGGGATCTTAAAATGGGATTTTACCTGGCAGGAATGGGATCTACCTAGGGAAGAATGGGATTTACTTGGGAGGAATGGAATTTACCTGGGAGGAATGGGATTTACCTGGGAGGGATGGCATTTACCTAAAGAAGAATGGGATTTACCTGGGAATAATGGGATTTACCTCTCAGCAGTCTTAACCTGGGGTTGCACTTCTTCCCCACATCAGAAATACAATTTTTCCCCCGCACTCCTGATCTTCTGAAATTAAATCTTTCAGTTAAAAAATACATTGACACTGAAATATATTCCAACATTCACATTATATTTGTAAAAGCAGGGCAGGAATTTATCCTTCTTCTCATCTCAGATTTGCCTTGGAAATTTGATTTTTCCTCTCCCTGTGCAGCAAGCTCCGCCACCCTCACTTGCTGCAGCTGATGTCTGTCTGTCTGTCCTGTGACCTGGAGAAAACTCGGCTGGTCTATGAGAGGGTTCACTTTGGCTCTCTCTACAGCATCCTCCATGAAAGGGTAACTGCAATGCTTGAGTTTCAAGTAACAATTCATCAGAAATTTAGTGACTAACGTCTTTCTTTGAGAAGGCAAAATCCTCGGTGTGTATCTGAATTTCTGGTTATTTTTCTTATTTTTAAAATAAAAATTTAAAAATTAATTACTTTTGGTATTAATTTTAAATTAAATTAAATTTCATTTAATTAAAATTAAAATAAGTTAAATTAAGCTACATTTAATTTAATTTAATATTAATTTTAAAAAATTAATTTTAATCCATATTTTGAAAAATGAATCAATTTCAAAATTTAATTTTCTAAAAATTAAATGTAATAAAAAAATTTAATGAATTTTAAAAAATAATCAATTTTTACAATTAAATTTAAAATAAAGTAATTAAATTAAATTAAATCAAATTAAAATTAAAAATTAACTAATTTATAAAATTTTAAATTTAATAATTTTAAAATTAATAGTTTTAAAAGATTAATTAATATGATAAATATTTAAATGTAAATTTAATAATTAAAATGAAATGTAATAACATTTTGAAAATTTAACCAATATAAAAATTTTAAAATCTCTGTTTTATTGTTGCCATTTGATATTTTTCTCTTCTTTTTAATGCACTGTTACTCGGTTTCCATCAAGAACAAACCCCAAATCTCCTCTGCGGGCTCGGCTGTTCCTTGTCTCTGCCCCGTTTTAATGCACTGTTACTCGGTTTGCCATCAAGAACAAACCCCAAATCTCCTCTGCGGGGCTCGGCTGTTCCTTGTCTCTGCCCCAGCACAGGACAAGTGGTTCTGGGCAGGCCGCGGCTGAGCTCCCACATCCTCTTTTTCCTCCAACACATTTCACCCTCTGCCTTCTCCGCCCCGTCCCACCCGTGAGAACCAGCCACCCCTTTCTCCCACCTCAGTTCAATTCCTGTGCCGTTCACCTGTGGTGCTGTCGGGGCTGTTTTGGCAGCGCGCGGAGTTCCCGGTGCTGCAGACGGCGACCCTGCTGCACATCCTGCTGCAGGTGCTGGACGCGCTGCGCTTCCTGCACGGCCGCGGCTTCCTGCACCGCTCCCTGTCCTCGCTCGCCATCCAGGTGGTGGCCTCGGGGGAGGGCAAGCTCTGCAACCTGGAGTACATGATAGAGAGGTGAGAGCTGCTCTGAAAGGGGCTGTTCCCCAAAAATCTGACACTGGGTGGTCTTTAGGAAAGGGCTTGGAAGGCAGGGTGTCGTCGTGATGCTTTATCAAAAATCCTCTGCTAGGATTTTTCCCCTCCTGAGGGAAAAAAAGGAAAATTTCTTTTCTCAGGAAAGAAATGTAAATAATAACTATTTGCTGCTGTGGGATGCAGCAGGTGCATCTTCCATTGGTCCATGTGGATTGTTTTCAATTAGTGACCAGGCTGTGAGCAGCCACGGGATTTTGTTATGCATTCTGTTCTATTCTATTCTATTCTATTCTATTCTATTCTATTCTATTCTATTCTATTCTATTCTATTCTATTCTATTCTATTCTATTCTGTTCTGTTCCGTTCTATTCTTGTTCTTTGTAACCTTCTGATCATTCTTTTCTCTCTGTTTTTTAAGTATAGTTTTAATGTAGTATTTTAATATGATATATAATATAATAAATCAGCCTTCTGAAACAATGGAGTCAAGCCTCGTGTCTCCACACATGGGGTGTTCACCTCAGCACCAGCACATCCCTCTGGGTGCCCTGGGTGGCTCAAAATCCTGGCAGGGGCTCAGAGACCCTGGCAGGGAGCCAGAGACACTTGGGATTTCCATCTTAACCCATGGAGCAAATTACCAAATTCATATGAAGAATTACTATTCTAAATTAAGTAAGCCACTAAACTACATGACAGTAGTTGTCACAGGGTGAAAGGTGGAATTTTGAGGATTTTTACCATAGGGGTCTAGGAGGGAAGATGGGAGGGACCTGGGTCCCTAGACATTATCCCCTAGACACATTGGAAAATGAAAAATTGTTACAGGCTTTCTGTGTTTTATTCATGGTCAGAGCTAAAGGGTTGTTTGGAAAGCTCCTGTGGGGAAAAGTTCTGCTTTTTTTTAGGGTTTAGTACTCTTCTCCTTCTTCTTCTCCTTCTTCTTCTCCTTCTTCTTCTCCTTCTTCTTCTCCTTCTTCTTCTCCTTCTTCTTCTCCTTCTTCTCCTTCTTCTTCTCCTTCTTCTTCTACTTCTTCTCCTTCTGTCTTCTTTCTTCTTCTCAACATCATCATTCTCATCATTATCATTATCATTATTATAATATTTTATTTATATTTTATGTTTAAATTGTTATTAGTTTAGGGTTTTTTTAAATTGTAAAGTCCTTAAAGCAGGTGTTGCTTTCCCCAGTTGCCAGAAGACATTTACTGCACATTTCTATTTGCAGAAATGCCCTGAACCTTTTATATATTAAACTAAAAGCTGCAGCACGCTCAGGTGTTTAATTCCTAAATACAAACCTTGCAGCTGAGTGTGCTCTGTGTCCTAGTTCAGATTTTTTCCCCCTTTTTGCAGCAAGGACAGCGGGGAGCACAGTGACCTGACCCGAATCCCTGTGCCAGCCCAGCTGTTCCGCTGGAGCTCCCCTGAAATCATCCTGGGCAAGCCTGGCACGGTCAGGTCAGATGTTTACAGCTTCTGTGCAGTGCTGCAGGAGGCCCTGACAGGTCAGTGCCCAGCTTTGGGCTGGCATGCTTCAACTGGAAAAATAAACCAGGCAAAAAACCCCAAATATTAATGACAATAACAGGGAACTCCTGTAAAATGTGAGCAGAAAAATTAAAATTGTGTGGCTAAGGGATGAAGTTAATGGGGGATATTGGAGACATAAAGTGCTTTTCTGCTGTTTATTTTTCTTCTTCCTACCAGCACAGCAAAACATTCAATTAAGTCTTTTCAGTGTTCAAAACAAGCTTGTGCAGCTTTTATGTTTTTGATCTCTGTGATAACTTAGAGATAAGTTAATGTTACTCTATTATTGTAGCTGTTATTACAGATAATGCCTGTTCTGCGTTCACTTTGACTATTCTGACAGTGAAATGGGATAAACAATTACCCTAAAAATTAATCCCAGTGAAGAATCCAGAGCAGGGTTGTTTGCAGTGTCATTCTCCTCCAGATATTTCTGTCAGCTCCCTTGAAAGCATCCACTGCTGGAATAAGGCAGGGAGGAGATGCCAGTGCTTGTTTTTAATTGTAAAATAGGGAATGGACAGGGAATAATGTGATTTTTAAAATTTTATTACATTTTATTGTATCACTTTTTAAAAATTACATCAGGGAATTATGTAATTTTTAAAAAATTAACATTAAAGTGCAGCTGGTGACATAAAATCTGCACTTGTGTCTTGCAGAGAGCCCTCCCTGGAAAGGTGTGGAAGACTCAGCTGTGAAGCAGCTCGTCCTTTCAGGGGAGCAGCTGGAAGCAGATGTCAGGCTGCCCCTGCTCTACTATGATGTTGTCAAGTCAGGGCTGGAACCCAAACCCAGGAACCGCTCCATGAAGCTTCAGGATATTCAATATGTCCTGAAAAATGACCTGAAGGTGATTGCCAGCCTGCTCATTTTGATGTGTCCATTCAGGTTCTGCTTAAATCTAGAGGAGGTGATCCAACACCCTCAGAGAAGCAGGCAGAGACACGGAACTGACAAATACAATTTGTATTTTATTCCCTTTTGTTTGTTTTGTTTTACAGGACTTGGTTAAATCTGAAGGCGGCCACGCTGGTGGAACACTCAAAGCCCAGAGGTCTGCTGTTCTTGCAGATGTGAACATCTGCTGGGCATCATCTTTTAGCTTCCAGAAGAGAACAGTGGAACTCCAGGAAAAAGAGATGAGCAAGGCTGGTGAGTTTCCTGGGGCAGGGTGTCCTTCGTGTGTCCCTCCCAGCAGCGTGACAGGAATCATTCAAATCATTCAAAGGACAGAAATCATTCCAGTGGCAGCACGCACAGATTTTAGGATGTAGGTTGAAAAAGGAAGCAGTTGGTTTTGGATTTTAGCTGCCACTTAAGGCAGACTCAGGTCTCTAAATCTGTTTTAGAGTTTTCAGCAGAGGTGTCAAATGCTGCTCGTGGAATTTCTGAATTCCCAAATTCACTCCTCAGCCTGCAAAAGCAGCACGGCTGTTGGATTCCTGGAGAAATGATTTCATGTTTCCAATTGCATCTTTCAGGTGGCTTTCCTGCCCCCAAGGACTCTGTTTTCCCCAAGGAGAGCAGTGCTGTGGTGCTGCAGGAGGCAGCAGCCAGTGCAGAGCCCCCGGTGCAGGACAGCAGCCTCGGGGTCTCTGAGCAGCATTCTGGAGCTTCTCCCTGCAGTGAGAGCGATGTGGATGGGAGCCTGTGCAGCTTTGAGATGAATGAAATCCTGGCCAGTTACCCAGAAGGTCCCCAAGACTTCCTGGAGGGAGGACCTGGGTCAGGCCAGGCCCTGAGGGATGCAGAAATGCAAGAGCAGAGCCAGTGGGAGGGTGAGGATGAAGGGGAATCCTCGGGGTCCAGCACAGGCTTCACTGGAGAGGAGGAGGAGGAGGAAGAAAAGGAGGAGAAGGAGGAAGAAGAGGAAAGGGTGAGAGAAGGCTCTGGGCTGTCCCAGGTGAGAGGAGCTGCTGGCAGGAGGCTGAGCAGCCCCTCCCAGAGCGAGCAGCACATCAGCAGATGTGTCCTGAACCTCAAGATCATGCAGAGCATGCTGCAGCAGGCTGGGCATTCCCTGAGCAGGACAGAGGAGAAACTGGACAGGCTGAAGGCCATGGCAAAGCAGAAGAGGCTGCTCCAGGAGGTCAGGATGAATCTGCTTCCCAAGGAAAGTTCTCAGGGAAGGCGCTGGGATGGCTCTGATGCTGCTTCCCAAAACACCATGAAGGCTCTTTCTGGAGTTGATATTTTTTTACACCAGGCTGTGGCTCCACCATCCAGGGACTACATTCCACCTCCAGTAACGTGTCAGGCACCAGGCAGAGACAGCTTCCAGGCTGTTCCCCAGACAGGCAAGGAAAGAGAGGCAATTCAGAATGAGAAGTGGAAGAGCAAAATTGCAGCCACCCATTGTGATCCAGGCTGCAGCACGGGCAGAGGGCTGGATGGTGAAGTGAGCCTAAACCAGGAGGTAAAGTGCTGAGCAGGGGCCTGGTTATCATTTCTGTGATCCTTAGCAGGCAAAGAGGTGCAGGGATGGGTGGTGTGCAAGAGGAGGGGTGAATCTGTCCTTTAAAATGTGCTTTGTGTACAGGAATGAAGACAGCTCAGCAGTGCAGTTGTGTTATTTCCTCTTCCTCTCCAGTCCTCCCAGGACAACACTGATCCAGGGGCTCAGGGTGGGGTTAAAATCCAAATCCTGCACTCAAATGAAGATAGGAATATCAGGGAAAAGGCCAGTGGAGAAATATTTCTGTTTATATTGAGGCCTAAGCTGTTATTGGGAAGGGCTTCTGGATCACTTTAATTATTAAATACATGGACCAAAGAGAAAGAGAAATTCAATTACATCTCTCCTGTCAGGATAATCTTGAGTCATTCGGGTCCACTCATCCCCCTGAAGCTTCATGTTTTGATTGCCTGCCTGCACTGAAACCTGCCATAAATCCAGGGCAGAGTTATTGCTGGAGTTGTCACCCTTTGTCCTGAGCAGAGCAGCTAAAATAAAACTCAGGGATTAAAGTTGGTGCTGTCCTGTTCTGAGGCTGCACCACAGCCAGCTCAGGCAGGATTAGCAGAGTGCCCAGGGTGTGCTGAATCATGGCTTGTTGGACTCTTTTCAGCATTTCCTCCCACACGTGTCTGCAAGAAGCCAGAAAAAGTTCAACCTGCAGTGGCAGAGAGGAGCTGATTCACATCCTGCAGCAAGAAGGGAAGAGGAGAAGTGGTGAGTTTTGATCTTATTCATAGAAGAGTTAATTCTGACAGATTTCATCTGGAGAGGGACTGTCAGAGGAGGCACATCAGGAGCAAGGCTGGCATTAAATGTTCCTCAGGAAGGCAAAAGCCATCTGTGCAGAGAGGAGCCTGCTGTGAGTCACTGTCAGCTGCAGAGCTGCTGTGACAGGGCACTTTGTGGTAAAGAGTGCTGTTAAAAATGAGTTCACGTGCCTCTGGGATGGAGGTCAGTGGTCCAAAATGTACCAGGGCCTAAGGAGAGCAGTCTGGGGAGATATTAATGGAGGTGGTTCTCCTCTCTGGGCACAGCCTCCTTCAATGCCCAGCAGAAATGCCTTTTAATGTCATCTCTGTGTGTTTGTGAGCAGGAATGGAAAGCACATGTTGGAATTACCTGGCAAAACTTGTGCAGATTCATGTTGGAAAGAGGGGGACAGAAACTTCTTTCAATGTTTGGTAAAATCAGAAAAACTGCTGCAGTTTTAAAATTAAACCATGATCCATTTGGATCAGAAAAACCTGTTGGTAAAGGTTAGAACAGAAATATTCCATGGTCAGTGGAGGCCAGGGAGTGAACTCTGGTGGGAGAATCATTGTCCAGGTCTGAAATTGTGATAATAAAATAATCCTCACATAAATGGTGATAAAACAATAAAACAATCCCCACATCACCCATGGTGTGGTTTTGGAGCTGCAGCATCTGAAGGCAGCTGACAGCTCTGAGATGCAGAGTTGAATGTACAGCTTGTCTGGTTAATCTAGAATAAACCTAAATAATTATCTGTGCTTTCCAAGCTCCTGGCAGCTCAATCTGCTGGTTCTGCTGGGTTGTTAAAAGGCTGAGAGCACACGTGCTCTAATTCATGTTAAAACAACTTGGAGCCTTTTCCTGCCTGGGGAATACTTGACACAATGTGCTCGGGCTCTAAAATAGTTTGTGCACTTCATAATCATTTACTGCAGGTGCCATTCAAAACCAAGGGTGGAATTCTGCAGCAAAAAAAGCATCGAGAAGAGGAGGGTGGTGCAGTCAGGATGGAGGAGTGAGTAAATCAGTGTTAAATCAGTGTTAAATCAGTGTTAAATCAGTGTTAAATCAGTGTTAAATCAGTGTTAAATCAGTGTTAAATCAGTGTTAATGTCAGAAATCTTGCTGCAGTGCAGAGCATTAAACTCAGCACACGAGGAAAGGTCTCTGCTTTAATTGCTGCAGCTCTGGGAGGCTGTTTTGGGTGGGATCCAAGGGAGTGGGGTCCTGTGTCTTGCACACTCTGGGCATGGAATAATGCCAGGCACGTTGAGGTGGTTTTTTTCTGGAGCTGGAGGGGTTTCTGGCCTGGCTTTGGGCAGTGTGTGGGCTCAGGGAGGGCAGGGCTGGCAGTGCCCAGTGGATGGCAGCACGGGCATGGATAATGGAGATCAAACCCACAAATCCTGTTCCTGTAGAGACTTGTGCATGTCACTTTGTGCAGGTTTGCAGCTTTATTTAAAAGAAAAGCAAGTGTTTAATTTAAAAAAAAGGAAGTGTTTAGCTCTTTTCATGACAAAGGCTGTGGTGCTGCCAGCTCCAACCTTTGCATTTCCAAGTCTGCAGGCAGAGTTAAACACAGGGGCTGCTTTGAAGGTCCAGATTCTGGGGTGTGAAGTGCTAATTTTGGGGTTTTTGGTGCAGCTGAAGTCAAGCAGATGGCCAGAAGAGTGGCCTCAGGTCGGCTGGGGCTCAGCTGCCCCTACCCTGGCAGCGAGTGCCCGTCTGAAGCAGAAGGTGCCAAGGAGCCCCCCCAGGAGGTGCCTGCTGGAGCCCCCCAGAGCCAGGGGCAGCCGGGTGAGCCCTGGGACCCGGGCTCTGAGGACACAGCCGACTCTGGGGACAGTGATCTGGACAGGACTTCCACAGGTGAGGAGGCTGAGACATAAAATGCTCCGTTCTCTTTTTGTCCCCTTCCATTTCCAATTGGATTTCAGCTTCTGTGATTTTTTAATTTTTTTTTTTTTTACAAGAATTGTCCATTTTATCTTGCAGAGCTTTGCCCTCAGAGCAAGTCAGTCATTCCTTGATGGGCATAAATAGAGATAAGATGAGTATTAGGTGTTAATAGGTGCAGGGAATGAGCTTGGAGACCTTCATCATCCCTGATTATTGTTATCAGCATGAGAAACCCAAAGCTCTCAGACCCTTGAGAGTGCTATCACACTTTTATTTCTTCCAGTCTCACCACACAGCTGCTTTTTCTGCAGCAGCTCAGTGGGTAAAGCTTTTGAAAAAGTTCTGGACAAAAGAACAGGGCAAGGTTCCCCTGCTTAGATTAATTAACGAGGTGAGCATTTAAATGTCATTATTTCTCCGTGTTCCTGGCAGACAATTAGTGTCACTGTCTGCTCTCATTGATATTCCAGCAGTGCCTCAGATCACTCACTTCACATTTTTATTTTTTTAGTTTTGGTTAATAATTTTGTTCCATTCTGACATCCTAGGGAGGAGCTGCCAGTCCCCAGCACCAGATGAGCAAGCAGAGTCTGGAAAATCCATTCCTAAGAGTTCAGTGCTTCCTCAGCAAGCTGAGAATCTCTCTAGAGTATGTACAGAAATCCAGGGAATTTAGTGGCAGCTGCTTATCCATGGAAAAGTTTAGCCTGGTGTTACATCCTGAGCTGATCTGAGTAACAATTCCCCTCCTCCTTCCCCCTTTTTTTTAAATTTTGTTTTATAAACCACCAAAGTAATGCAAGGAGCAGGAGGTGTGTTGAAAGTCAGTGAGCAATTAAATAGAATTTCAGAATTTCAGTGGTTTTTATTGGCTGAAATATGTATTTTTTATTACTAGAGAGTGGGATCATCCCAGGTGATGATGTCTTTCACAGGGGCATTCAAGGGAATTACATTGTTCCCTTAATTCACCTCCTGATGTGACTGAAGAATTCTTCACTCCTGATTATTTCCTTCCTCCTGCTCTTGAGGGAAGGTCAGAACCAGAGGTAAAAATAACACTTTTTGGACCTAAGTTACACAACATGTGGTTTGATTGTGCTCCCATTTGATTTGAAGAGAGATGTGGAAAATGGGAGATTTTTTTTTTCATTATCATTCTTTTCTTTCAAAATAGTACCTGCAAATAAAGATTTAGGTAAAAGTAAGCAAATTAATCCTCATTAATTTCTGGAAGATACAAAACTTTTCTATTTTACTGCTAAATCCAGTCTGGGCTGTTTGCTGATGAGCTCCTGAAAAGTTTCTCTCTCCACTCCCATTATTGGGAACATCATCCTGGGAGGGTTGTCCTGCCCTTTGCAGTGCTCTGTCAAAAATGGAATTAAATTCTCTTTTTCCCCTTTTCAGACCTCAGACACTGAGGGCAAAGCAGAAGATGTTTGTGCAGGATTTTTACAGAAATTACCTGCAGATGCAGCATCAGCAAGTCAGGCTCCAGGTAAATGTTTTTTTCTTGAATCCTCTGAGGAGGGACACGGAGTTGTTGCATTGATATTTTTCCAGCAGCTCTCCTGTCTCAAGGCTGGACCTCCATTCTTCAGCCTCAATTGATCTCTTCTTCCTCTCATTCCAAAATTATTATTTTTGGGAGAGTTCAGGACATTGAGGATTTTGGTTTGGGCACTGCAGTGCCTGAAATCGTTTCAGATGCAGTGTTTATGTACTTGCTGTGTTTCAGTTAAAAAGCCAAAACAAAAACTTATTTGAAACCTTTTTATTTTTACCCTGGGGCGAAGTTTAATCTTTTTATGCAACTTGCTGTGGTGCTGGAAACTGAATTAGAGTTGTATTTACACATTAATATTCTCATTGCTGGGAGGATCTTGGGCTTAAACCCAGTGAGAGCTGACAGAGTGTGTGTGCAGAATAATGGAAGAATCCTTGTTTCCTTATTTTGTTGTCTCTTTTAGCTCAATTTTGTAAATGTTGTGATATTCCCCAGTGCTTCAGTGCCTGCCTGGCAGCTGTGCCATGTTTATGAAAATGCATCTTTAAAACACATTTGTCTCTCGATAACAGCAAAGGTCACAAGAACTCAGACAGAAAAGAAAAAAAAATTAATAAAGTCACAATTTCCTGTTCAATGAGTTGGGTTGTTTTCTTTTGTGCTTGCAAAAGCCAGTAACAGGGAACATTTGTTATTTGTATTCAGGAGGAAAAATACTATTCTGCAGCACAACACCACAGAGCTGTGGCAGTAACAAGCTGGGAGTGAATCAGCTGAGCCAAATGCCTGGAGCCAGGTAGAAAAACTCATTTTCATTGTTCCTTCAGGCATAAATTAGCTTTTAAAGTGTGCTCTCTTCATTAATTCTGCTTATATATCTAATATTCAAATAAGATGCCAGTGGTGGTTTTTAATGATTATCTACATAGCTCAGCTCCTTGCCAAGAAAATACAAAAAGGGATTTTCACAGGTCTCAAGGGATTTTGTCTTTTGCAGGGTTTGGTGGGGTTTTTTTTGCCTTAATGAGGGCGCTAAAATAGGGGGGAAAAAAAAGCCATGTACATATCACAATTCCTTTTCCACTGATAAACCAGAGCCTGAAACAGAGCAAAGATAATTCAAATTAAAGCTTCAGTCATCTGCTTTAATTTTGGTTGTGGAGCTGAAGTGCCATGAAGATCCTGCCTTTCCCAACCCCTGGGATCAGCCCAGGAATGTTCACAGGATCCAGCCTGGGGGCAACATCAGATCTGGCAGTCTCTGAATCAGTCTTGGAGGCTTGGCTGGCTCCTCTGGAAAACAGGAGGGGTTTTTTATCCTGTCAATTTTATTATTTTACCAGCATGGGGAGAAGTTGGCTGTGACTGCCAGGGCTCCTCCCCAGCCAGGAGCTGAGTTCCCTGGGCCAGAGGGAGGCACCAGCAGTGGAAATCACTTGAGTTTAGGATAAAAAAAGAAGGTTTTTGGTTGCTCCCTTCACTTAGGAACTTGTGGCAGCAGGACAGAGGGGATGTTCCTCTCTGAGCATCTGCCTAATCCTCTTTGACCTTGTCACAGTCTGAGACAGATCAAGGGATGATGGAACAGTGGAGTGGTGTGTATGCCTAGGTTTTGATTTCTTTTATTTAATTCTATTAATTTCACCTAATTTTAATAAATACACATAATTTCACTTAATTTTATTGATTTCACTTTTGTTCTGAAGCTGCAAATGTCAATGAGAAGTTTTAACAAATCCATAATCTGTTAAAAATGCCATTTTTCTTCTACCAGTCTCCACCTTCTGAGGTTTTAAACAAAAAGTGTTTATGAGCTGCAGGCTACCTCAGTGCTTAAACTTCCTGAGAGAAAGGAAACCCAATTTCTCTATTTCCATCATTTTCTGAGGGTGAATGTGACCTTTCCTCCCTCATTTCAGTGTGGATGCAGCACGAGAAGCGACGCTGTGGGAGCCACAGGAAGAATGCCAAGAAAAAGATGTGTAAGAGCCACATTTTTTAGCAAAATTGCTCATTAACTACAAAATTTTGTGTTGGTGCAAGACAGGGAGAGGGGACAGCCCAAGAGAAAACTCTCCAGAGTGTTGAGAGTATTTTCCTGTGCAAAGTTGTGAGATTGGTGTAAAAGAGTTGTCCTTAGTTGGGAATATTTTCATATTCAGAAGTAATTAATTTGGTGTTCATCTGGGTGTGCTTCTTCCCATGAAAAGTGTGAGGATTCCTGGTTTCTTCTCTCCATATGGCACAGGGAAATAAAATCACTTTAAAGAGCAAATCGTTCGTGCAGAGCCAAATAAATTTTATTCCAGAAATAGTCCTGTGATTTTCAGGGGGAAAAAAAATCAGCATAGTGTGTTTGTGATTCAGCTAATGAGGTTAATTTATATTTACAGCTAATGGAGATTTGCATAAAATTACTGATTTACAGGAGGTGTCTGTTCTTTCCATGGCCTTTGAGGAGGATGGAATCCAGGGTGTATCTCCCCAAAATTTGATCAATTTGGATTTCATTTTTTTTCATTTGGGGGTGTGTCAGTGCCTTCAGCAGTCTCAGTTTATCAGAGTCATTCTTTTAAATGCTCCCAAGGCCTACAATTAGTCTTAATTAATGGCTCATTAATTTTTCTTAACCCTTGAGGTTTTCCCTTGCCTTTGGGGATTTTTTACTTTTTTTCTACCTTTTGGTTCACATTTGGAGTTCCTGCCCTTTCTGGAAGCAGCTTCCTGAGCTGGTTTTACAGGAGGATTATTTAAGACATCCTGGAAAGGAAGGAGAAGCAAATAATTAACCTTTTATGCATCTGCAACTTCCCTGAGCATGGTGATTTTGGGCCTCCCAAGATTCCTGTGGGAAGTTCCAAAGGGAACATCTCCCTCCATTCCAATGAACTAGATAAGACTGCACTGCAATTAAAATTTCAAGATCCCGAAAATAGCAGGATCTGGTGATTCACAGGTGCAGGAAGTGGCTATTCTAACTGTCAGAACATCTCTCAATAATTCAGATCAGTGGCAGATATTCAGGATTTGTCCAGCATCCCCTGTGAGCAGAACTTCCAGAGGGGTGTGGAGTGTAAAACACCTCGGCTGAGCCACGCTCCCACCAGTGTCAGCACCCCCCTGGGCTCAGGTAATGCAGGGAGGGGGAAAAGAGGATTTACAGGGAATTATTTCTCCTCTCTGTGCCAGCCAGGCCTTTCTGCCGGGATTTTTTGATGCAAAAATCATCAAGGTGAATGGTGAAGCTCCATTTCTCTGTTGTGCAGAAATGTCAGGCTTGCACAAGGAATGCTGTTCTTCCTGTTCTTGGAAATCTCACTGTCCAAAGACACAGAATTAAAGGAGAATTTACAGGGACACAGCTGAAAAAGTCACTGCCTGAAAGGTCTCTGGAAGATATTGGCAGCCTTCATAAATCAGAAATGAAGTAATTTAAATTAGAATTGATGCATGTGGATTTCAGCATTTTAAAGGCAATTTAATAAGCACTCAATATGTTTATAACAAGATAAATAACATGAAAAATGTTTGTTGAGCTGGAGTGCTAAAGAGTAATGAATTAACATTTGCTTTGTGCTTCACTAATTTGGTGTAAGACAATGGCTGGAATTCCTCAGTTGGCAAAGTTTTGTCTGAGGTGGAATTCCTGGATTATCAGTTTGGTCTTTTATGGGTAGAGTTTCTTGTGCAGGTGCCTGTTCCCTTTAAATTTTTTTCTGCTTCTGTTGAAATGTGCTAAAGATACAAAAATTCCAAAAATAATTCTCCAGCTTTGCCATCTTTACTTTTTTTTCCCCCGTTTTTTTTTAATTCTAGATGAAAAATTTCCATTAGCCTTTGAGAAATACAATCAGTGCCGTGAGTTTTCTTCAGATTCTTCCTTTTGTGGCTCTCAAGAGACCTCCTCCACTGTGTTCAAGACTTTCACCACAGCCTGTGAAGGGGAGAGGAGCATGGAAATTCCAGTGGTGGCTCCAAGATTTTGCCCATTTGGACTGAAAGAGCCTGTAAGTGAGAAAATAACTTACACCAGGAGTTTCTTTAAATACTCTTTTAATGTTCCTTAAAAATATTTTTGACAGTACTTTTATTAAAAAGAAATGCAAGGAGAGAAATGCTTGTAGGTCTTTGTGAGTGTTTTGGAGTCGTGGCTCTGTGGATGAAGTGGCAAAAGTCCTGATTGATTTCAGGCATTGATTACACAAAAATTTGGGTTCCTCTTGCTGGGAAATGTTGGCCTCTCTCCAAGCGGCCATTCCCTGCCCTCCATCCCTTCCTGGCTGCAGGGAATTTCACCTCCCAGCTTTTGGAATCTCGGATTTGGGCCAGAATTTGGAATGGACAAAAGGAAAAAGGAAAAAGGAAAAGGAAAAACCTGGGCTGGATTCCAGAATGGACTCGACAAAAGTGAAAACCCGGGCTGGATTTGGGATGGGGTCTGGAATGGTCTTGGCAAAAGCAAAAACAGGGACTGGATTCCAGCCTGAGTCTGGAATGGAGTTGGCAAAAGGGAAAACCTGGACTGGACTACCACTGGAGTGTGGGATGGACTTGGCAAAGGGGAAAACCCAGAACGGATTCTGGCCAGAGTCCAGAATAGACTTGGCAAAAGGTTAAACCTGGGCTGGATTTTGCCCAGAGTCTGGAATGGACTTGGCAAAAGGGAAAACCTGGACTGGACTACCACTGGAGTCTGAAATGGACTTGGCAAAAGGGAAAACCTGGCCTGGATTACCACTGGAGTCTGGAATGGACTTGGCAAAAGGGAAAACCCAGAACGGATTCTGGCCAGAGTCCTGAATAGACTTGGCAAAAGAAAAAACTCAGGCTGGATTTTGCCCAGAGTCTGGAATGGATTCGGCAAAAGCAAAAACCTGGGCTGGATTCTGGCCAGAGTCTGGGATGGACTCAGCAAAAGGGAAAACCTGGACTGGATTCCAGACAGAGTCTGGAATAAACTTGGCAAAAGGGAAAACCCAGATCAGATTTTGGCCAGAATCTGGAATTGACTTGGCAAAAGGGAAAACCCAAACTGGATTTTGCCTGGAGTCCAGAACAAACTTGGCAAAAGGAGGATTGAATGAGCCCTTTGTTCAAAGCTTTTTTCTCCTTTTTCTGCACATTAAATGTGCCCAATCTCGTCAGCTTTGCTCAAACCCCTCCCTCTGGAGTGCAGAGTTTCCAGGGTCACTGCAGCGATTTCCACTGATCCTTTTGGCACTGAAGCCCCAGCATTATCTCAAATTGCCTTTGCAGACAGTTTTGTACAAAACAGTTGCCTTTTCACCTTTCTCATTATTTCCACTGCTGGGGCTGTGGTTGAGAGCTGGAATCAGAGTTTGCTCAGGCACAGCAGCAGCGAGGGCTCGTTGTGCAGCTGACCTGGCACAGGCAGGGCTGTGTCGTGCTGCTCCAGTGCCACAACACTTGGAATTCATTAAATTCATTTACAGCCCTGAGTGGCTCTGCTGATGCTGTCACTTCATGGCCAAAATCTTATTCTAGAATTAAGTGCATATTGCCACTTTGAGGGTAGTTAGTGTGGGGATTTGCCTCTGGTTACAAATTCTTAATTCTGGGGGGCTCTTGTGATGAACAGATGTGCCTGGCTTTAATAATGAAAGATCCCAAGCAGAGAATGGGAACTGAAGAAATCTTGGAACTGTCCAGTCAGAAAATTCAGTGTTGAAATAAAGATTATGTAGCTGATGGTATCTCACAGCTAAAATATGACTGCAGAGCAATCTAAGCAAAGGTTTTGACACATCAGTTTTACTCTATTTTCATATTCTGGACTGATTGAAAAGCTTAGTTTAAAATTTAATGGTCAGCTCAGGCTTTAATTGAAGGTTCTACCTAAATTTTGGATTTAGCATGTTGAAGGGGAGGATTGAAGATCAGCAGTTTTTCAGTTTACCTTCTTGTATTTAATTCTCTTTGATCTCACACAGGTTGGGTTGCCACCAGTTGCTTCATCCCTGAGGAACACCAGGCAGGCACCTGGTAAGTCTTTTATCCCAGCCCCAGCCAAAATAAATTCTGCAATAAACAGAAAAATGGATTTGAAAGGAAATTCAGCAGTCTATAAATGATTTTTCCTTTTTTCCCCTTTTTGTTTTTTGCTCCTGGCTGTCTCTTTTGAGAAGGATAAATTGCTAAGCACTCAAGCATGTACTGCTGGTGCTAATTAGGTTATGGATTTTGTGTTTGCACCTGCACACTAAGAACTCTGACCTGTAAATCAACCTCTGTTTGAAGTGTAAATATTACTGGCCTCAGATTTCTGATACAGCATTGAGAGCTGAATGTGCAAGTCTGGCTCAAAATGATTTTTCCATGATGGAATTATTTAGGGAAATTTGATAAAATATGAATGAGCCAGGCTCGTGCAGGGTGTTAGATGAAATATGTAAGCAAGATGCTATCAGAGTGTAAGCCTATGTCACACTTATTAAGGATTAATCACTGCTAATTAACTAGAATATTTTTTTCCTCTGTCTCAGCACTCTCAGAGGCATCTCCCCCCTCCACTGATGAGCTGCCTCCACCAGCCCAAGAGCTGCTGGATGAAATTGGTAAGAGGCACTTCACCCCAAGCTGTGGGAGGCTTTCCAGCTGTGCTCAGTCAGGATTTCTCCCAAGCCATTCACTGCCAAAATACACTGGAGCTTCCAAATTAGTTGCAGTCAATTATTAGGAAGATCAAGAGCTTAAATGATCAGCAGCTTAAATAACTGGCAGTTCTTGAAGCCTCTGCCTTTCTCTGAGTGCTTTCCTTGCTGCTGAGAGCACACTGAGTGCAGGTGGAGTTTAACACCGAGAGGAATTTGGTGTACACTGAATTTTTCAAAGGTGTCCTGCAGCAATTTGTGTTCCCTGTTAGAGGAGGCAGCTGCACCCCCCAGGTGTCTGTGCAGAGCTCAGTGATTTACATTTGTTCTTGTGTTCCCACACATCTCCAGTCAGAAAATGGAAAAACTCTGTGAGGTTTTCACTGGGAGGCTGTTGGAGAAGAGTTTGCTTTGCTTATCCATCATTAGGCTCTTCCTAAATTAACACCAGACATTGGGATAATTAAAATGTCCATCCTGACCTTATTTCCTCAATCATCAGAGCAAGAACCTGTGGAGATTGGTATCATCAGTGATGCCATTAATGATGGTCAGGGGCAGCCTGTAGGTTAAAATAATTATAAAATATATAATTAAAATAAAATTTACATTGTATTACATTGTATTACATTGTATTACATCGTATTACATAGTATTATATTTTACATTACATTAATAATTATAAAAATAGTTATAAATAATATAAAAAATAATTATAAATCATTATATTATATTATATTACATTACATTACATTACATTATATTATATTATATTATATTATTATATCATACCATATCATATTATATTTTACATTACATTAATAATGATAAAAATAGTTATAAATAATATTAAAAATAATTATAAATCCTGTCCAGGTTTTCCTCTAGGATTGGATGAAGTTCTATGATATTTTAGTGTATAGTCAGCCTAGATCAATATGGAAATAATGCTTTTTTTAACAGAACACTTAAAGCAGCAAGATTCCATCACTCCAGACTTGGAAGGGATGGGATTGCAAGACTCCAGAGTGCAAGTGAATGGTTGGTTGCTAACAGTCCCAGTGTAGAGATTAAAAATAGAAAATTCTTTTTGCCTTGCTGCAAGCTGCCTCTGAGTCCTCGTCACTGGGTGTTCAGCTGGAACAATAACCTGCAATTTTTAGCTTGGTGCCCCCACCAGTGTTTGCTGCCTTTGCCTGTGTGTTCCCTGCAGAGTCCACGGGAGCTGCTGTGGGAGGTTTGCAGGTGCCACCAGGAGAATTCATTTTGTGCTTTGTTGTGCCACTGTGGCTTGTGCTGTGCTCAGACCCAGGTGACAACACCCACAGGAGCAGAGGTGCTGGGCACGTGGTGCCAGATCCACTCTGGGAGGGTGGTTCAGTTCACAGAGTGGCCAGTGCACCCTACCTGTTCATGTTCCTAAATTCTCCAGCATGAAATAACGCCTCTGATTTCACAGAGGAAGAAAATAGCTTCCACTGGGGTAATGAATATTGTATTTCCTGCTCTGTTACAAAGACAGCAGAGTGGTGAATCTTTGTGCTGCTGCAAATGCAAATGGTGCTAAGTGGGAATCATTTTTAGATGTACAACAAGTCGTGTCAGAGGAGCAGAAAACCTAAATGTTTATAGGCTGTGCTTTTTTTTCCTCCAGTGAGTCACAAAGTGAGCAGCAGCAAAAAAAAAGCAGACAAAAAAGGCATAAAAAAAAAAAAAGAAAAAGGCAGAACATGAGTTAAGTCTGTAAAAAGCTAAATAACACAGTCACTTGAGAATGATGCTGGCACATGTTTGGTTGTCCTACAGCTTTGTCAAATCTTTTCCTGAGGGATGGAAATTCGTTGGAGCTTCTTGTTTTTAGGGGGAGAGGATTGCAGCAGGCTATTGCTGGCTGCTCAATCACTGTGGTTTTCTGGTATTTGCATAAAGCACAGCTATTTCAGACTCCCATTTTTTGTGGCAGCCTCGTGCTTCCTGCTTATCACAGCCCAGCAGAAGGGGCTGAAATATTCCCCATTAGCCCAAACCTAAGTTTAACCCCCATCACCATGAATTTCCAGACCAGAAAATTCACCACGGGGTGCCCCAGTGTTCCTGGAGCTGTAGGGTTTCACTTTCTCAGCCCTAAGCCCAACCCTAACCCTGATTTCTATGGGGAACAGAATTTGCTGATAAATCTTTGAGGGGGAATTACTGGATTTTGATAAATAGGCAAACCAAGCTGTCATCCTCAGGTTTCCCTTGGATTTCTCTCCCATATCTGGGATTGGAAGGGGAAAGATTAAAGATTCATTTCCACATGCATTTTTCATTTCAGTGGGAAACAAAATGTGGAGTCCTGTGAATCTGGAAATGTGTTGGAGTGAAATATTTATCTGGGCCTTGCTGCTGGCCACCTTTGACTGCAGATAATGGGAATTTGTTCATCTGCTAGAAAATCAGAGGAAAGAGTGACTGAGAAGTGGGCAACTGGAAATTGCCCAAATGCAGCAAAGAAAACAACATTTTCATGTCTTTATTTATCTTCCTTTGATACTAAAATCTTGCTGTTTATGTGAATAGCTCTTGATCAAGTTCAAATGGAAAACAGAGAGTCAGGAGAAGAATCTGAGAGAGATGAGAAGACAAATGAGAGTTTATGGACTAAAGAGTCATTTAATCTAGCAGAGGATACAGAAAGGTATGAAAAAGGATGGGAAGACATGTTAGGCTTTGAGTTACAAAGACTTAGAATTTTAACAAGATTCAATGCTTACAGAAAACTTTAAATGCCCTTATGACTGTTGTAATTGGAAATTTGCAGCATGAACCTTGTCACCATCACTTTGAAATCTTTTATTTCACAGGGCTCACTCCAGCCTGGATGATGCTTTGGAGAGAATGCTCCATGCTGTTCCTGGGGATGAGGAGATCCAAGAGCAACCTCAGGGACACACTCTTGGGTGAGCTGATAATTTCTATTTGTGTTGAAGGGTTTATTCTATGTGCTGTGTACAGATCTGTGGAGGACTTTTCAGAAAATGGGCTGTGACTCCTTAGGGAGTGGAGTGCCAGGGAATTTGCCTGGAGATGTGAATGTGAACTCTCCTACTAAATTGAGAGGGAAAAGAATGTTTTGTTAATACAACTTCCTGTAGGTGGAAAGCAAATACTTCAACAGCCCTGAAAGGCAGTGCTTGGTCTTCACAGAAATCAGAGATAATTTGACAGAATGGGGGAATTTTTTGAGACAGAGAAAATGTGCATTAAGAGAACAAAGTCATGAAAGCTCTTTATAAAGAAGAGTTTGTGAAAATGGTTGTGCTTTCATGGCAGTATATTAGGAAATTTGAAGAACATGGCAGAAGTCATTTAAACATCATTTTAAGGAAAATATTCGTATCCCAAATAACTGTTTTTCCTCTTGGAACTAAAGATCAGAGCCCAGTAACTCTGAACAGCTCCACAGTGAGTGCTCATAACTCATCCCTAACTTCTGTCTCACAGAGGAACTTGAGACATTCTCATGTTTGGCATCAGAATTTTCTGTTTAATCCTTAAAAAAAAAAAGAAAAAGAGGATGATACACAAAACTCTGTCATTCAAGGGCTGCCAGCCTGCAGGATCCAGAAGATGCTGGAAGGAAGAATGGAGGAGAGGAGAGAGGAGCCTGGGCTGGAGGCAGAGCACCAGGAAGCTGTGCAGGGACTTCAGCAGGTGCCCTTTGTCTGTAGAGCTGCTGAATGCACCCAAAGTTTGAAATGTCCCAAATCCCTGGTTACTTTTGGAAATATTGATGGTAATTTTAAAAGGTGGAAGCCTGGGGGTGACATCACTGTGCTTGTTATTGCATTGCAATAACAAATTGTTACAGCAATAGCAGCTGTGCCCCTGTTCTCTGTCAGAGCTCCTCAGCTGAGCTGGGACTGGCCTTCAGGGATGGAAATCAGGGTTGGTTTCTGATTTTCTGATCCCCACCAGGGTCCTGGTGATGCACCAGGAGCAGCAGAGCTGGGGCTGGCTTCTGATTCCAAATGTGGCTGAATGAATCAAGCAGAGGAACCTGCAGCTCTTGATTCACTTGCTGTCCCTGTGTGGCTTTCGTGTTCTGAGCTGAATTTCCCTGTTTTTTAGATGAGAGCAAGGATCAGAAATCCCACCCCCAGCAGCAGCTGGCTCCAGCTCCACCCTTCAGGTGAGAGTCTGTGAGTTAAACTGGAATTGTGGCAGAAATTTATTTGTGGCATCAGCTGCATTCCTGTTTTCCATGAAAAACAGGCACTATGAAATCCCATTCCCTTCATCTTGTACTTTATATAAGAAAAAACCAACTTCCTAACCTTTATTTCCTCCTTTTTTCTTTTTTTGTCCCCTGCAGGATAATTGTTTTGGATGAGAGCTCTCTCCATGATTAAAACACAGAGTGAATAAGTGCTACACATCACCTGCTTGCTGCTGCTTGCCCAGTGTTTAGTCTGTGAATTACAGCCCTTTTTGGCCCCATAAACACCTGTAAAGCTCAGATTTCCTTTAACAGCAGCAGCAAGTTCAGAAGAAAATCCCATGTTCTGTGTTCTGAAATGGTTTGTACTGGTTTGATGCCATTGTTGCATGCCCAGGCAGTGTCAATGTGCAGAAGTGAGCTGTTTTTTTACTGTCACATCCTTATGAAACTACTTTTCATTCTGCACGTGCACATTTTCATAAGCTAAAGAATTCCATGCTCTGTTGCATTATGCAGTTTTCAGATTAAAGACAAAATGATTGTAATTCTGTGGGCTGCTGGTGCTGCTCAGGCACTGAAATGTTTCCATGCTGGAGTGTTGCAGCCCATGTAGTGTCTGTTTTTCCTTGCTCATTAAATTTAACAAGGTAATTTCTTGTTTTCTCTTTACTTAGTGCTTTTGTGATCTAGTGTTGAACTGATTTGACTGATTAAAGGGATTAATTGCTGTGCAAAAAGCTAATGAGGAAAAGGCAGTGTTCTCCAGAGATTGCAAGTGCAGCAATATGTTCCCTGCCAGCATCAGACAAAAATGTGAAAAAAATGTGGTTGTTATGAAGATACCTGGTGTTTAATTCAACCACATTTTTGGTAGGCCTCGTCCAAAAAAAACCACCAAGATCTCTGGATATAATTGAGTTTTGGATGTGAATTTTAATGGGCACAGCAATTTCAAATTTAACTATTTTTTTGTGAGAAATGCTGTTCAAGGTGCAGGAGTGAAGGTTGTCCTGTTCCCTGGGCTTTGAGCTGCTTTTGCACATCTGGGAGCGTCAAGTATTGCATCTTCATTCCTGCTTTTGTAAGGAACTGCTCTAATTCTGTACCTGTTAATTTGGTTTAACAACATTAATAAAAGTTTCCAAGGTTATTGTGCTGCCGTGTGTTTTTTTTCTGGCTGGGAGGTTCATTTTTGGTGTTGTTTTGTTGGGGTTTTTCACTTGTTTTTAATTCTGCTTCCCATCATGAGGATGGGAACTGCTGGAGCTGCTCCAGGTATGATGCTGGAGAGGTGGGGGAGCTTTCTGAGGAAAGATAAGAGAAAATAAAAACCTTTCATGTGTTTGTGCTGTGGTGGCAGTGACAGAGCCGGAGCAGAGGCGCCTCAGGCCTAGCACAGGCCTCGCCCCGGGCTGTCACACAATTCTGTCCAAAAAAAGCTTTCATATTTTCCAACCCAGCCTTGTACCAGCCTGGATTCTGTGTGTGGGACTCCTGTGCTGCAGGCAGAAGGGGTTTTTTATTCCTGCTGGAACAAGACCCTGCTCCCCATGGCCCTGGGGCTGTGTCACCAGCAGGGATAGGGAGTGCAAAAGTTAAATTGCACATTTGGATTTTGTGATCCTGTCCTTGGTGGCTTGTGACTCATAACTGAGGCTCGTTCCCTCTCACTTTGGGCAGTGCTTTTATTGGGTTTCAGGCTTGTTTAATTAAATAAAAAGTAGCCAAAGCCAAGTGGCTGCAGCAGTGTGGTGGAGAGCAGCACAGGAGCTTTTCACATGCACGGAATTATCCATCACTGGATGGATAACAACATGTGAAATCTCAGCTTCCTGCATTTCTTGTTCTGTTTTATCTGTGGGACCAAATGGTGAGCAGACTGTGAACCGTTTCCCTATCTTTTTTTAATCTTAATGTGGAGAATTTTTATTTCTGTTGGTGGAGGGCCTTTCAAGTAGCCCCATGGCCTGTCTGATCTCCTTATCATGGCCAGAACACAACAGAGATTTCAGTTCCTCTGCTGCTTGTACTTCCCCAGAGTTAAGTTTAGCATGGACTTAAATCATCCTGATAATGTAAAGCATGGGCACAAAAGCTGTGATTAACAGGAACAATTAAACAAGGACCAGTGCAAGACAGCAGAGGAGATCAGAGGGCCCATCTAATGCTGCTTTTTCAGCTTCCCAGAGAATGAAAGCCCAATTAATTAAATTAAACCAGTGATACTGAGCTGTTCTAATTCCTCTCTGAGCCCTGTGAGCTGAGCTGTTCTGCACAGCAGGAGAGAGGGAGGCTGAGACAGGGGTGGGGATGGGTGTCCTGTCCCCCCACACTGGTCATGGAGTCATGGGATGGTTTGGGTTGGAAAATACCATAAATATGATTTAATTCCACCCCTCTGCTACCTTCCACTAGCCCAGCTTGCTCCAGCATTTTTCATTCCTTTGTACTGGGCTGGTTTGGGGATTTTTGTTTCATTTTTGGTTTGAAGCAGAGAATCTCAGATGGTGGGGGAGAAAAACCCCAAACCCTCAGTCTCCCAAATCTCATCATCCTCCATGGCAGTGCAAATTGCTGGGATGCCTGGCTGTGGATCACCTCATTTTGAAAGCAATTCAAGGGTTCGGGATCACAAATCTATAAGACAACTCTGAAGGCAGGCAGGCTTTTTTAGAGATAGAGGAATTGGGTGAAACCCACTTTCATCGACTTGCTGTCTTCAATATCACCTTCAGAAGCCTTTCCTGGGCTCCTGAATGACAGAATCTGCCTCCAAAAACAGAAGTGTGATTGCAGCTGGGGTAGATAAACACTGGGATTGGAGATTTGAGATGAGGTGTGAAGCTGTGGAGCCTGTGGAGGTTTTTTATCTTTTATTTTATCCTTTCAAGCTTTGGCATCTTTTGTTTTGCTGCTGGTGGGCCTCTGCTATGCCTTGGGGCCTGTTACCACTTGTGTTTTCACCCTTGCTGGGAAATCAGTGCATTCAGACCTTTCCTTATTGCCTTAATTCTAAAAAAAATTAACTTTGTGTCTGTTTTATTTCCTGGCTGTCTGTAGCGACGTTTGTGGCACTTGCCACGAGGGATGTGCCAACTCTGGTGGCAGGAGGGGATGTGTTTTCTGTCAAACCCTCCATCAGCCAATAAAACAGATGAACTGCTCAGTATTTATCAGTGTTTATTAACACAGTTGGCTCTTAAACATTCCTGCTGGATTTATGCCAGAGTTACAGCATCTCCCTGAACTTCCCGGCAGGACCAGGCGTTGCAGGCAGGGCTTGGTCTGTCAGGGGATGGTGACACACCATGTTCCACCTGACTCTGGGCCAAACAGACACCTGGGATGTTGTGCACTGAGGCAAAATTACTGTTCATTTTTTATTTGGTGTTCTTGAAAGGCTCCAAGGTGAGGGGGTGGGAGGGAGGCGTTCCTTAGGAGAGGGACATAGTGAAAATCTGGTTTCTCCCATGGTGGGACGGTTCCTCACTTGCAAGAAGACACTGTCATGTCTTTTTTTTTTTGCTGGGGACATCTCCATCCTCTGAGAGCCCCCCATCAGCTCCACCCCGAGCCCCTCTGTGCTGCTGTGGGTGGCACAGGCAGATCCTGGAGCTGGCACTGGTGCGGGCAAGACGTGGCAGCTGTCACACGGGGTGGGATGGTGTCACCTTGTTCCTCAGCCCCTCTGCAGCGACCTGGGGACTGGGGGCAACTGGAGAGGTTTTCCCCATGCCCCTGGGGTGGTAACCACAGCACAGCATTCCCAGCAGGCAGCTCTGGAACTGGGCAGGGAAGGAAGGGGCAGGTTATTCGTGGCAGCAGAAATCCGGCGTCACCTGGAGACTCGGCAGCTTGGACGCTGGTTATATTTTGGGAAAGATCTCTGTCTATTCCCAGCCCAACTCTTTGTGGTTTATGGACAATAAAAGTTTCATTCTGTTTGCTTTGTGCCTCCAACGAGCAGCTTGTGATTCAACATTAAGTTGCCTGACCCCATAAAACCATGGAAGCAGAAAATGAGCTCTTGTTCGGGCTCGCAGGCTGCTCCTTCCCTCTCCATCTTATTCCCCAAATCCCTGCTGCTTACACAGCAACCCTGTGACCACACTTCCAGATAGGATAGATGGTTCCTCCAGGATTTTTGAGCCTGTCCAGCTGCTCTCCAGCTTGGTTTGTTTGGAGCTTTCTCTCACCTGTTTGTTCATGAAGACGTAGATGATGGGGTTGTAAACCGTGGCCGTCTTGGAGAAGTAGGAGGGCAGGGATGCCAGGGCTGGCTGGATGACAATGTCCTTGTGGGTGGCCACCACCAGTGCAAAGGTGGTGTAGGGCAGCCAGCAGGTGAGGAAGGCCACCACCATGGCCACCACCATGCGTGTCACCTCCCGCTCCGCCTGCTGCGTCGTGTCCGACTCCTGCTGCTGCGCCGCGGCCTGCGGGGTTTGGGAGAGAGGGAGATGCCAAGGGAGCAGCTTGGAACAGCACCCCCTCCCCCGTGACAGATGAGTCATGGGAGGATTGGCTCTCACAATTAACAGACAAACACCATGTCTATAGGTTAAGAGAAGTTGTATAGATTTATGGTTATGTTGTACCCCCTGGCGTGGTTATCAAGGGACAGCTGGGAGGGCTGGCCTGTCACTATGGTGACATCTGATCTCCAGTCAGGATTTGGGGAAGAGATTTCCACCACTGGACAGTGAAAAAGGGGTTGATGGACAGAACTTTGTGAGGGGTTAAAGGGTTAAAAAGGAAAACCTCCATTGTGAGGGAGCTGAGCATACGGCAGGGAAAATCTTTTGCGTAACCTTTTGTCTTTACTCAGTCTATTGTCGTATTTTTGATAAGGCTTAACAAACCTTCCTAAACTGTGAAAAGTGAGCAGCCATTTCTCACAATTGGGAGCCATGATGGCAGTGCCAGGAGGAACCAGCTCCTCTGGCTGTCCCCAACACCTGCCCTGAGCCTCTTCATCCCGTGGAGACGCTTTGGGAGCGGAGCAGCGCGGGCTCACCTGAGCTGGGCGCACTTACCGCCCGCAGGGTCAGCAGCAGGTTGGTGTAGGAGAAGAGGATCAGGCTGAGGGGCACCACAAAGCAGGTGACAAACAAGGCCAGGATGTAGCTGCTGTTGTTGCTGCCGCCCGTGTACCAGTTGGGCCCGCAGGAGGTTCTCAGGCCTGGAATAAAGGTTGGGGATGAGCCTGAAGCAGTTAGGGCTTGGATAAGGGCTCAAGGATGGGCTCCAAAACAGCTGTGGCACCTCATGTGTCCATCCCCAAGGGCCTGGAGGTCATCCACTGGGGGGTTTGGGGTGGCCAGATGCCCTCTGTGATTGTTGAGTTGTGCCAGGCCCCTACAAGAGCGGGTTTGGGCTGGCTGTGTGCTGGGTGCTGCTCCAGCAGCCAGAGCAGCTCCTGGCTCCAGAGTGTCCCGTGGTGTTCCAAAGAACACCCTCCAGGAGATGATTATTGGCTCAGCAAGCAGGAGATATTAACATGAGAGATTAACCCTTTAGGCTCCAGCCCAGACACTCTCCAGCTACCCCAGGCTTGAAAACAAGATGCAAGAATGACAACACGGTGGAGTCTGATGCACATCTCCCCTACCTTCAGGCACGTAGCTGCTCCAGCCCAGGAGTGGTGGGGTTGTCCAGAGCAGGGACCAGCCCCAGGTGAAGGCACAGCCACTGGCAGCGTGCCGGTGCTGGAACCGAAAGTCTCCCAGGGGTCTGCAGACCACCAGGTACCTCTCCAAGGCCAGGATGGCCAGGGACCACAGCCCCACGATGCCTGGGGGGACAGCAGGGGTTGTGTCTCAGGGACAGGTTCTGCTGCCTGTGCTGGGACGTGGTAAATGATGATTTAGATCAAGTAAAAATTATTAGAACAAGAAGTCGGATGTTTTTGTCTTACATCAGGGACAGCTGTGATATTTGGCTGTTAGAGACTGATTTTGGCACTGCTTCTCTCACAGCAGGGACAACTGGGATATTTGGCCCTTAGAAATGAGGTTGGCAATGGGTGGCTGTGATGCCTTGTGGTTACAACAACAGAGAGTCCTCAAGGAGAGGTTTTGTGCAATTTCCAGTCCCTGGTGCACAGCCAGCTCCAGGTGTGCTGGCACAGCAGCCAGCACCCACAAAAAACATCCCAAACAATGTCCCCAAGTGGCATTTCCCACTCTGTCAAGACCAGGACTGGATGTGTGGTGACCTGGCACAGCCAGCCATCTCCCCAACCCTTCCCTGTGCTAACCAAGAGCTGAAGGACACGACTTCCACTACACAAAAGTGTTGGATTTAGGAGGTAAAACATCTCCAAAGCCCCTCTGCTAAACCCCAAAGCACCCTCCAAAGCCCGTGGCAGGGCTGCAAGGCTCTCCTTACCCGTCAGGGACACCATGAAGCCCTCCAACTGGCAGAGGCGCTCCCCAAACACGAAGAAGCCGCTGATGTTGTTGGAGAGGCTGACGGAGCTGCCGCAGAGCGTCACCAGCAGGTTGGCCACGGCCAGGTTCACCAGGATGTAGTTGAGGGGCGAGCGCAGCCGCCGGTGCCTGACGGACACCACGATGACCAGGCCATTGAGCAGCGAGGCCGAGGCCACCACCAGCCCCATCAGCATGGCCACCGCCAGGTACATGGCCCGGGGGGCCTGGTGGGGCCACTGGGGGCCATCGAAGGGCCCCGGGGTGCTGCTGTTTGGGGGCTCCTGGGTGCTGTCCATGGAGCAGCAGCACCTGGGCCAGGTGAGCTCCCCCAAAAGCACAGCCTCTTTATAGAGCTGGAGGGGCTGACGTGGCCCAGAGCAGCTTGGCTTTCAAATACCTTAAGCTTTATTTTAATCTGAAGGGTTTGTCCTCACTCCTGCTTTTTTTAATCAGCTCTTTGTTCCCGAGGGGATAAAGAGTGACTTAAAGAGAAATCTGAGGGCTGAGCAGAGCATCATTTAATTGAGTAAATTTTTTTTTTCCTTGTGTTTTCCAGCTGGACTTTCCTGTAAGCCTGGCCTTGGCACCAGGGGCTGGGCATCATGCCCTGTGCCCTGGGTTTGCTGGGCTTCAAGGCTACTAAATACATATTAAACATAAATAAATATAAATATGCATGTAATATATATACTTAATTGGGCCATATATATCTATTTTCTCTCTCCATATATATCTATATCTATATCTATATCTATATATACATATCCCCATATATATATTTTATATATATATATATTTATATATACTTATAAGTACCTACATAGCATTTATAGTACATTTATAGTATTTTGTAGTATTTATATACTACATTTTTATTATTTTATAGTATTTATATAGCACATTTATAGTATTTATGCTATATTGGACCAAGAAACCTCCAGTGCTCAGGTTTAAAACCATGTCTTCCCAAATCTTTGTCACCCCCCAAATTCAAAAGCTGCACCACCAGCATCAACCTTTTTTTCTTTTTTTTTTTTAATTTTTATTTTTTAACCTTTTTATTTTCGGTTCTCGTTATAAATATTAACAAATCTGACCAAAAGTACACAGATAGGTAATACTGAAATACAAAAGTCTCTCAGGATGCAGGTAAGGACGGTTTCTGCAGCCTTCACATGGTAGCAAAACATTGGTATCAAACATTTCACGAGGCCTGGCATGACAACCACCAACTCTGCATGCAGCTGGGACGAGGGACGGAGTGCCCACTTAGAAAAGACTGGGGTACAAAGTGAAGGAACCCACACACACGTGTCCTACTCCACCTCAGGCATCAACCAGTTTCACAGGCTGGGAAAAAGGATGGATTGAAAGGAACTCTGTCAGAAAAGGGAGGCACAGCCAGCCTGGTGCTCCTGGAGCTCCCCTGGAAGCTCAGAGCACAACCAGGTTTTAAGGTGCTGGACCAGAAAGGATTAGTGGGAACATCCGACTTGACAGGCTGCCAGAATTCAAATAAAATCCATGCATATCTGCAGGGTGCATTACAAATATTGAGTTATTAAAAAAACCCCTATGAATGTTGTTTTTTTTCTTTTATTTCCCCTCACCCCCAATATCAAAGAAGGTGTAACAAGGTGTAACGGGATCGTCACTTGGAAAAGTAAACATAGGTTTCCAGAGATTCCATTGTTTCCCAAGAGAAAAAAAAAGAAGTTGGCAATGTGCACAGGGCTTGGAAGCTGAGGGCAACTGAGACTCATGGGGAAAAGCAGCTTTCCTAAGAAATTATTGTTTAAAGGCTTCCAAACATTTTGGGAATGGTGCAGCATTTCCTAGAAAGCTTTAGCTTATCCCACTGGATGTCTGGTGGGATGATGATGATGAAGAGGCCAGCCAAGGTGGATCACAGAGGATGATATCTGGGATTATTAAAATATTAATATATTATTACTGTGCCATGTTAATATTACTGTGTCATACACAGAAATTTATTTGGTTTGGACGCTGAGGCAGAAAATGAATCAACCTCACGGCCATGCTGAGCTACAAACACAATTCCAGCTCAGCTCCGAGGCTCAGCATCTTCATTATTTAATGCATGAATTGGAAAGGGATGAAAAAGGGAAAAATTATAGAAAATTTAGCCTGAAAGCTGGCTTTGCTGGAAAAACAGCCGTGCTGCTGCATGGCATGGTTTCATTAGGAGAGAAGCTGCTTCCTGGGAAGCAGGAACAGCCAGGCTGTTCCAGGGAGCTTTTACATTTTGCCTCCCAAAGGTGAAGCTGCCTGATCCCAGGAGGAAAAGCGTGGTGTGCACAGCCCTGCTGCCTGCACGTGAGTTATTACTGGAGAGGACGAGCACAACATTCCTGCAAGGAGAGCAAACACTCTGTCCGGGTGAACCAGGGACACAATCATTCCAACGGAGGAGCTTGGAAATGCAAAAAAGACTGTTTAGGCCCAAACCACAGAGACTGACAAACCACCAGAGATATGGCACAAGCTGCCTCGAGGAGACAGTTCTGGGTTTTGTGAGTTTTTGGGGACGCCTTTTGCCGATGCCAGACACACGGACGCGGACGGACGCATTCATTTTTTTTGCCACTGACTTGCAAGGCAGCGAGAAGGTAACTGAGTAGAGGCAGGATTTGGGAGAGGAGCCAGACTGCAGTGCATGCAGGGGTGCACACGTGTGTGAGTGGGAGTGTGAGTGTGCACGTGCATGCTCGAGAGTGGGGCTGTGAGTGTGGCAGGGCGCAAAGAGGCGTTCTGGAAAAGCCCTGGGAGCCGGCAGCGGCCGCCAGGGCGAAAACCACCCGTGCCTTCTTCCCTGGGAAGGGCTTCCCTGCAGCCAGGCCCTGCTGAGGGGTGTCCTGCTGTCCTGGCTGGCCTGGGATCCCCCGTATCCAAAGCTGGGAGGAGCCCAAGGGCTGTGGAGCTGTGGCCCTGCGGGGCTCAGTCGCTGAGGACGGCGCCCGGCAGCTCGTTGGTCAGTGTGTGCCAGCGCTCGATTTTCTTGTCCTTGTTCTTCAGGCAGTCGAACCAGTGCTTCAGCCGCTCCCCTTTGGCATTAATTCCTAACACGACTCCACCTTGGGAGGGAGACAGAGAGAGGGAGAGGTGTGGGGGGGAGCATCAGCTCTGCAAGGGATGCTGAGGGATGCAGAGGGGGATGCTGGAGGGAGCCAGGTGAGTCAGCATCCTCACGGCATCCAGCCTGATGTGAAATCCAGCCCAAATTCCCCACCCCCTCGTGGCTGTGGTCTGGGACCTGTCCCAGGCAGTGCCCCAGCCCCAGGCAGTGCCCCTGTCCCTCGTGCCAAGGGCTCACTGCAATCACAGTGGCTGTCAGAGGTGCCGGGCACTTGTTAGTGATAAATCACAGTGACCAGAGACAAAATCACAAGCAGCCCAGACATCCAACAGAGATAAATGAAACCTCCCTGTTAAACATGTTTTGCACTCAGAGGAAAACATCTGAAAACAGAAGGGGAGAGGCAGATGCATTTTCTCCCTGCTTGGATGCTCTGTGAGAGGCTCAGGTGCAGGAGAGGGATAAAAGCAGAAACGAAATCCAGCGAGAATGAATGTGGGCATGGAGAACAAACCAAGAGGGTGGAGGAGTGCAGGAGAAATAAGAGACACAGACAGCAAAGATAAATAAAAACGAGACCTTCTGGAGAGTGCTACTCACCTATGAAATCGTTGGATTTCCCGATGTCATAGTCCCACACAGTGACTTCCAAGGTCTTCTTTGCCAGGTCACCGTGCTTTATCTCGTAGAAAAACTCCTGTGGAGGAGCAGAGGCAGAGCCAGGATGAAACAGGGGCTGCCCATCCTCCTCCTTAGGCTTTGCTCCCCATGGGAACCCAACCCAAATCCCTCACACAGTGACCAAGGTGGTGATTTTTTATCTTTTAAGTCTGAGGTTGAGAAAAGCCCCTCGGTGAGAACCACACCCACCTCATTGAACTCGGGGTTCAGCGTTTTCTTCTTCACTGCTGTCTTGTGCTTGGATTTCTTGTCCTCATCTGGTTTCAAGTAACTGCAACGAGACCAAAGTGGGTCCCAGTGAGGAGGGCAGGAGGCCATGGGTGGGGACATCTGTGACAGCTGAGCAGAGCCAGGGTGAGGTGGGTTGCTGAGCCCCCTGAACCTCCAGATCCTCCTCCCCTGCTCTCCCCTGCCAAAATGCTGGGGCCAGCTGGGAGGAGGCAGCATTTCCCCTCCTTAGAACCAAGGCAGGTGCTGGTTGCAATCAGAGAGCAGATTATCCCATCTCCAGTCCCTAGGGGACACTGGCACTGCACACATCCTCTCCAAGCCCAGCACTCCCAGCCCAGGACCTGGCCAGACTGGGGATTGTGACTGGTCTGCTCATGCAGAGCCTCTCCAGGACACAGGAGCCACATGCAGGGTGGAAAAGGGAGCAGGACACGCAGCTTTGAGCTGCTCCCTGCAGATACTGGGCAGCACAGCACCAGAGCTGGACAACAAACAAGATTAAAGTGTCCTCAGGCAGAGAGGAGACCTGAAATGTGGGCCAGGCCAAAGTCAGCCCATCGTGGTTGTGTGCTGGTGCTGTGCCTTTAAACATCAGTTCTGCTTCCTTGCTACACGTTCCAGATCTTGCTCATAATTAAAAAATTAGGGCTTGTACTGAGAAGCATCACTTTCTTATCTGCTCTGATCCCAGCCCTGCAGATGCAATCTCCTGTGGATGGCACAGGGGACACCCAAAACTGGCTGGGTGCAATGGAAATTGTGTTGCTCAGGGACTGAGCCTCCCATGGGCATCTAAAAAAACAAGAGGGGATTTTTATACAAACATCTCCAACCTTAAAAAACAATTAAATAAGAAGGTGAAAATGTGCTGCTGATGAACTCCATGGGTATCCCAGGTGTGGTTTCTCCCAGTAGCTCTGCCTTAGCAAATACCATCCCTAAAAGTGCCCAATTTCAGTCAGCACAGTGGGGACAAGGAGGTGGGACAGGCACAGGGCCCTTCTTTGCCAAGGCCACCCCTTCTTTGCAGAGAGTGAATTTGAAAAATGCCATCCCCCCAAAAACCCAGGAGCTGTGGTGAGGCAGTGCCAAACCAGCAGGGACAACCCCACACCACCAACTCCTGTGCCCACCTCACCTGGAAGCTCTGCCAGGGAATAACGCTCCAGGCAGAGGCAAGCTGCTGCCTGACGGCCTCATTTGCATCTCCTAATGAGAGCAATTAATTCCCGCTGCGGGGAGAGGCGGGAGGGGACAGCGGGGCCGCGGGTGGCACTCACATTTTAA